TTGGTGTATCCCGCTGCTTGTCACCCTCATCCCACCACTTGCAGACGTGGGTGCGGTAGGATACAACAAGAAGTATCATCTCTGTGGATTCCCATCCACCCATTCCCGCTCCAAAGACTACGATCTCATCCTGGTTTTTGTGTTATACCCTATCCCTCTCATAACCATCATCGTCTGTTATATTCTCATCTGGAAGCATCTCCGCAATCACGCTAAGACGGTGACGACGCCTGAATCCTCAGCGAAGTTGGTGACCACCCACATGACTGTGGAGTCACAATCGGTAGCTACTGTGAATACATGCAGTAACCACGCACGCACATCGACACAAGGAACCTTCCGCAAATCCCAGATGAGTCGCCGTATGACCGAGATCACCAAGAACATGTTCTACATCGTCTGTGCCTTCATGTTGTGCGTGACTCCCTATGCCATCTGCCTGTTAAAGGACGGCACTGACCCGTTCCTACCCTACGCCCTTGCGATCCTGCTCTTCAACAGTTGTGTCAATCCGCTCATCTACGCCACCAAACACCGCGACTTCAAGACCGTCTTCCGTTGCATCCTGCGCCACAAGTGGGAGGACATTCCAGAACCCTCGGATTTCCTGAAGACGCTGATATCGGGTGAAAGGCCATTCTGTGGAGGGGGCGGTGTGGTCACCTGAAAACTTTGTGGACTTTAGCCTTTTTAAACATGATCTTGTTAAAACCATTACGATTACATTTAGGCCTGATCGTATCCATTTTCTTTTTGTGTAATAATCACACTTTTCTTAATATCGGTACGACACTAGGGTGAAATCTACAGTGGATAATTATTCAAACTTTAACAGCTGCAACAACAGCTGAGCCATTTTAAACTCTCATATCCATGCAGCAATTGTAACTTATACTGAGGACATCCACAATGTGCCTGGTGTGACCTTGACTCGGATAAAACTATCAGTTATTTAACAATTAAAATATTGTATAATAGAAGTAAACTTTATGCAAGTGCTTTAAGCATTATAATCAGTTGTGAGAAATTATTGCGATGGGGATGGTGGACATGTTGTTGAAGATTTATTTTTGCAATTACCGGTACATGCTTTGTAAAATAAAAGGATATTTGTATTGAGATAAACAATTTATAGGCGACACATTTAAGTTTGTTGTTTTTATTGACAGAAATTTCACTGCTAAACAGGAAATAGTTGTATACTTATTGCCGATGTTCACATATTGCAAAGTTGAACAAATTTCCTGCTTTTGTCAACCTTTGCAAAGCCTTCAAAATGCTGTTTCAATGAAGGAAACAGTGTCAATTTACAAATTTACCACATAAAAAAACACAATTGGTGGTCAAAGGAAGTGAAAAACAGTGAATATGTGGACACACGGTTAACTGCCAGGGCTTTCCAGGAAAGCAAGTTATTTGAATTGATTGCGGTTTTTCCGATGAATTGGTACAAAAAAGGCCACGTCAGCGCAATACTTTGCCAAACTTCAGTAGGCTTTAGCGGGCCACATTCAACAAGGTCCATCGTGGGAATTTATAGCCAATCCGGACACAAAGCAAAATATTTTCGGTATCGGTAAAACCGTTATTTTTGTTTCGAGTTGAAGGCCATTCAAGCGATTTCGAATTTTAAAAAAATAATTAACGACTTTTTGCTCTTGTCCATAATCTAAGCCCAATCGTTTCCTTCACTTTGAGAAATACAATGTACAATGTAGATCTTCTGAATATCTTTTACAAAAACATTTTGCTCTATTAGTTTTGTCATAGACTGAGTGGACTGGATCTTGTTTGTAAACACAAGTACATTTCAAACAATAATAGGGAGTCGGGAACTAGGGCAGGTTTTATGGGCGGAAACCATTTCAAGCTACATGAAGTTCCCGACTCCCTTTTACCGTTCTAAATGCACTTGTGTTTACAAACGTGATCTAGTCTTCTCATTATCATAATCGATGCATCGCGCTCGGTAACGGAATCGCACTGGGGATATGGGGACCCATCAAATGTATGCTGGGCATGATGACCACATCGCATCGTTTAAACATTAACACGAGTCAGAAATTTAACGTGATCGCGAGGAGAGCTCTCGGAATTGAACGGGAAATGTCACTTTTCATCCGGATCGTAAGTAAACTTCAGTACAACCATTTTAATCATCGATGTCTACTTGTACCTCAGGTGGCGTATCTAGTAATTTGTAGTCCATTTTGAGGGTGAAATCTGATGTTTTTGTTAGGCAATGTTGGGTTTTTGGTCAAGGACAAAATTGTGTCGACCAACTGATGCGGTTTAGCTTGGACCCTACCATGCCTACTGTACCAAACCATACGTCCGAATTTTAAAAAGGGGATAAGTTGGGTCCAAGTTACTCGGACTAGGGGTACCCTACGACTAGGTACCCTAACTTTGGAAATTTCTGTCCTGGATGAGAAGATAATATCGATCAAAATCGGTACCAAAATTGCTACATCACCTTTTAGCATTTGGGGGAGCATCCGAATCGCCTGTTTGCCCATATTACTACACCTACAGACATACGGCCAGGGGCAGTCCGACCAACTTAAAATATGTTGTAAATGAATGAGTTCTAACATAAAAAAACACCTTTTTCCCAAGATGTTTTCAGTTTTACTGAGCCTCTTGGATTTGCCTTCAATGAAATCACAAGAAGAGGTGAATGGGAAAGATTTCCATTTACGAAGTTCACTCAACACCCTGTGTACAAACCCTATGAGAGTGGACTGAAAAATTCTAAGTGTTTTCTAAGAAAATGCTTGTATTTTCTCACTGCTCAAATTGACTTTGATGACATGAAATTGCTATCTGGGGGCTTGTTAGTCAATACAGAGGAAAATTAGTGAACTTCGTATATGAAAATCTTTCCGGTGAATGATTTATACATTTGGCGGCAGCGCTGACGGGTAGCGTCCGTTTCCGGAACTCTTCCCTTGTTTAGCCCCACTAGTGTGGCCGTCGGTATGCTGCGCTGAACCTTTGGCCACACACCGTGGTACCGCGCGCTACTGAGGACGAAGTTTTTCATAAAATTCAGGGCAGTTTCTTACATTTTCAGTTTCTTACTTTCTTATGGTTGTATTCTATGATGTCTCCTATCACTTCTGGGATGCTTAGCATGTGCTTAGATCTAATGATGTTCCATTTTCCGAGATATTCTTCAATCTTTCTGGAGCCCATAATGCACTCGTGAAACGTCTGGTGGTGGCAGCCATTTTGAATGTGACAAGAGATGACCTCAAGCTGTGACGTCGCCGTTTATGCAAATTGCTTGTCGAGCGCGCGAGGGCGCGAGTTGCAAATGCGACGGCTGTTTCCTGTGCCGTAGATCCTGAATAGAGATCGGTGCACGTGGCCCCCTGACGATAAATGCATGGTACAGGAAACAGCCGTCGCATTTGCAACTCGCGCCCTCGCGCGCTCGACAAGCAATTTGCATAAACGGCGACGTCACAGCTTGAGGTCATCTCTTGTCACATTCAAAATGGCTGCCACCACCAGACGTTTCACGAGTGCATTATGGGCTCCAGAAAGATTGAAGAATATCTCGGAAAATGGAACATCATTAGATCTAAGCACATGCTAAGCATCCCAGAAGTGATAGGAGACATCATAGAATACAACCATAAGAAAGTAAGAAACTGAAAATGTAAGAAACTGCCCTGAATTTTATGAAAAACTTCGTCCTCAGTAGCGCGCGGTACCACGGTGTGTGGCCAAAGGTTCAGCGCAGCATACCGACGGCCACACTAGTGGGGCTATTCCCTTGTTTAGTCGTTATTTTTTTTTCATCCAAATGAATGCAAAGTCCTGAATAAATTCTTTGGATAAAAGGAGTTAATATTCGTCTTTGTGTCAGGACACTTGTTTTATTTTGAGAGCCATGCTGATACTCATTAGCACTGTTTGAAATTAACTAGTTTTGTGTGGTAACACTAGTTACACTGGCCCAATGCAGACATAATGCACGCACCCAAGTTAAGTTAACCAGCGCAAAAAAAAGTGTTATTTCGATGATCGAAAATACCAAATTACACCAAAACTATCATGAATGAAAAACAAACTCTTAGAAAATACTCAGAGGTCTAAAATTTATTTACTCACTTAACGAGCCATCGTCAAACTTGTCGAAATCCCAGCCTTGTTTCGCTTGAGAAGCCATGTTTACTAAAGGTCAAAGCCACATCCCATCCGATTGCGTTAACATCACGTGAAGGCGTTACAGCGCCCTCTGTCGACGGATATTACACAGCCAAACTTGGGGGTGTACAAAATTCGCTGTGTGTACTTTTTGGTCAGATTTCCAAAAATACCAGAATACATTTCCAAAGTGAATCTTTTTTTCCATGTTGTTGGCGTGGCCAATATTTGCAATATGCTCGAACATTTTAAGCTTATATCGTGTACTCTGGAGAATAATAAAAAGGCTAACCAAACTTGTGGCTTTTGGGGAACCTATAGGGGTGCATAAATGTATTCGGGGGGGGGGAGGGCGGGGAGACTTGATACATATTTTTGTTCAATTCAAGACTTTAAACGGTGGGGCAACCGGGGCACGGACATAAGCTTGGGGCCACCCATGCCGCGCAAATACTTCAATTATAAACATATACCACTAAATATAAATATATATATATATATATACCACTAAATACTAACATTAAAAAGGTTCACGTTATTTAAAGACAAATTTAAAGACCATTGAACTACACTGTAGAATGCCAGTTTTATTTCATCTTCCCTTAACCATATTATGTGCGCACCTCGTCCCAAATCGCCACGGGGTCAAAATTAAGAAATATATATAAACAAGTTATTTCATTTACCCAACCCACAACGTAAAAACAGCAAAAATAACTGACAATCTACCAAGGAAATCAATGGTTTCAATGTTTCGGGTTTTTTTATTCTAAATGTTAAGCCCGACTGATATACAAATGATTTTCAACATTATTATTATTTCAATTATTGCTGTATTATTGATAATATAAGACTGCATATGCAGTGAAATGCGCCTTGATTTTGCATGTCTAAAAAGTTTCAAAATACACACTAAAACGTGACATGAAAAAGAAACATTTACAAATATATACATGAACATTTAAACATTTAAACAGTTCCTCTGATATAAAACAAACATTGACAACGGATTTCAGATGAGTTAAAACGGCTAACCAAAGGCTAAAGCTGATTTCTTATAATTATTTCACACTTGTGTGAATTAATAACACGGTTAAAGAGACAGATAAAAGCCGGGGGTCTATCTGTCGGGTATATTTATTCTTGTTCCTCGAGTAAATTAACCTCATGAATCGGTCAATGCAAACACAACAGGATCATCAGTTCATATCTATTGGTCTTTCTTCTGCTTCCGGTTCCTTGGTTTTCGATTTGGGTGGCATCCTTATCTAGATAGAGCAACTTCTTCATTGTCCAGTCTCATCCAAGCTGGGTGGTCCTCAACTTCGAAAACAAATTACAAACAAAGTAAGCAAGCAAACCTAAAAATTTATAAATAAAGACAAAACCAAGCACTATTGGGGGTTTTTAGGAAGGAAAAATATCACAGGAATAAGAATTTAAGTTTTTGATTTTAACTCACCTTAACTCAAGAATCAGTGTAATGTCATGCTCAATAAGCTGGGTCAGTCATGTGTCGGTGATGTCTGCTTCTGGTTCATTGGCATCTAGCAGTGAAGAAGCTCCATCTTCTAGAAGTCAACATCTAAGATTCTCTTCCCTATCGAGCGTGACATAACGTGCAGTTCCAGGATCCCTCTGGCACAGTTGCAGAATGTCCTTTAGAAATATTGTTGGGGAATTTGAAAGTTAGTTTTTTTTAATTGAAATCCATTATTTGATCCGTGTCGAATTCCTACGTTAATAGCAAAAAATAATTATGTCTGGTACAATGTTGAACTTTGGCTTCCAAATGCTGTGACGTCATCAAACCGAAAGTTAGGTGTTATTAAAAAAACGTATTGATACATTATTGCGTTTGTTAAGGTTTTTTTATATTAAGTTCTTTTCATTTTATAATGAGTATGTGTCCTCTCTGAACTAAATCAATATTTAGTTTGCACATTTTGTTTTACTGGTGACGTCATCAAACCGGAAATAACCGGAAAGGACGCATTTTTCTTTTCAAATTAAAGCATTGTCTAAATTGATCAAATGAAAAATTTGCCCGCCCTATATATCAACACCCTACGTTTGTAACTCAACAAACGCCGTACCTCAATTTTTTTTAATTTTTTTTTTATTAAGCTCGGCAAGATCCAAGGTAGCTCGAACTCTAAAATTTGACATTTCCCATGTGCCAAATTTCCCGTTTTCACACCACCAACCCCACTTTTTTGCCTCTGAGAAAGGTCTTGCTTATAATAAATGTTAGGCCCTCTAATTATCTACATTTGATTTGACTGATTTGACTTAAAACTAGAAATGTGATGTCATTTCAGGCAGAAACCTCAATGTTACAGCTATTTCAGTATCAAAATTTGTCACAATTTCGGATATTTTGTTATAATTGTAAATTTTCTCTTTGGGGGGGGGGGGTGATTCGTCGTTGTTTCAGTACATGACATGAGGCCAATGAGCCAATTTTTTCTACAAAATGTCCCACAATAAGCAACTGTTACAGTTTTTCTACAAATGTCCCATAATAGGCAACTTTTACAGAAAAACCTTAAACTAAAACAGTGTCTTCCTGTTACGACATCACAGCAACAGCGCCCTCATTTGTCAAGCCAAGCATGGACATTTTTAAGAGTTTAGGGGTGCACGCCTGTAAATAGGCTAAATCCGTCCGCCGAGCCTCATGAATAAAAGTTATACCCTCAAAATATTCTATATATTAGAGAGTTTGAGAACCATAAAATTGGGGAACTGGAGAGATACGGTAATGAACTTCTAGCCCGGACTTGGGGCTTTCAATTCCGGGCATATTTGGATGCTATTGGGCTCAAAAGTGGCGCTATTTTGCAGTGTTGTAGTCGAGACCGGATAGTCCGAGACCAAGACCGAGACCTGAAGTTTCGAGACCGAGACCGAGACCAACCCCTTAAGGCGGACCGAGACCGAGACCGAAATGGTCCGAGACCGAGACCGAGACCGAGACCGCGGATAATAAATGACAATAATCTAAGTAAAAAAAAAAAGACACTAATTACAGTTGAACAGTCTGTGCTTCAGATGATGATGTTGATGGGGATGTGAAGGAAGTGATTGAAAGCTAGGAATCACTTGTACCTGCTTAATTGTGTCAGGCGAATGTTCTTCATGTTTGCTTCATACCATAAATTACAACACGGCAACAGAATTTGTTATTGTCACGATCAATTAAAAAAAATTGGAAACAACCTAATTTAAGGAAGGGCAAAACCTAATTTGATGAACTCCATATATTGTTGCCACTTTTTTTTAAATATTTTTTTTTAAATATTGTTTAACTACTATGAAATGTAAATCTGATGAAGAAACTCTAACTTAGGAGTACGACAATTTTTACTAATGTTTTGTAATGTTGAAACTTGACAAAAGAAAAAAGTTCAAGGTGGATGTTTCATCTGTTATAGGAACTCGGACCCTAAACTCCACAGTCACCCCTTGGTTTCAGCTATGACTACTAGGCCTAATGGATATTTAAATGCAACTTTAATTTTACATCGGGCCTCCTTGTAAACCTGATTTTAAAAAAAATGGCATGAAGCAAGAAAATATTGATTTATTTTTTTAAATTTCAGTCATAGAATATAGACTTGTACATGTAGACCCAAAAGTTGAGAGGTGGTAGCCAGATATGGATTTTATTTTTTTTTTCTGACTGGGATTTTGCTTTTTGAGGAACAATGGGGTACTTCAAAAGAGCAACCAGAAAATCGAGTCTTATCATTTACTCTCATGGCAACAGTGAGTGGTAACTGGTAAGACTAAGAGTGTGTGAACTCATTGCTGGAAAATCAGGCAGGGAAATTTACTCTCTCTCCAAAATACTATCCCAAATTAAAGAGTAGATTGGGGTCGAAAAGGTCACTCTTTTGGAGCACCTCATTTATTTAAAAAATAAAAAAAAATACTTAAGTTACCGCCCACAGAGGTGGGCTAATAAACTATACAATCCCCGAAAATGGTTGGCCCTTATTGCATAAATTGGTACTTACTTTGCTTTATGTGCGCGACTCAAATTTCGTCGTTTTGGCTGGTCTCGACTCGAGACCAAAATATCGAGACCAAAGGGGACCGAGACCGAGACCAAGACCGAGACCACAGCTCCCGAGACCGAGACCAGCAAGAAGCGGTCTCGAGACCGAGACCGAGACCGGTCTCGAGATCTACAACACTGCTATTTTGACATGTTGTGGAGGGATCGTTTTTCAAGATGGCTACTTTTCCGCTTGGGGGAAAAAAGGCGTCGTCTTCTTTGGGTGAGAATATCTCGAAAAGTCAGTGGTCAATCCACCAAAAAATGAAAAGAAAATGAAAGATGACACATGGATCATCATTTTTCTGTGCAGCTTGAATACCTGTGAGAGTTCTGAGTATTTTTAAAAGAATTTTGAAGTATGAGCATTTAGCACTAGTGTCTATGGGATTTTTTTGGCAGGGTTGCACCCCTGCGCTTTTCAATCAAATTAACCAAAAAAGGGACGTCAAACAGTTTTGAGACATTTAAGAGGAGTAGAGAGTTGCACAAAATATAAGCCCAAGTAAAATTCATGTAATGCCCTTTAAAGACCAGGCACTGTAGCCAGAAATCACGAGCCTGTTTAAGGCCCCTTTATTGTTGAGCCGACGATTTTTTCTATTCTGCGAATCAGCGACTGAAATCAAATTTTCCCTCCAACCCACCCAAGGCCCCCAGCCAGACCGCGGCACGATCGAGCGGCGGTCACTGGCGTTCATCCCCCGATAATCACCCATTGTTTGCTCAGATGGGGCAGACGGCTGGTATCCCTTTGTTCCTGCGCGGTCGCCGCCTCTGCCTCTGTCATCCGTAAAGTCGGCCACTTCTCATCTTCTCTTTTCTCTGTCTGTTTCTTTTTAATTTGTCTGGGCCGGCGGGATTCGCTACATGGTTGGCAACCCACGGGCGAGAGACAACGACAAAAGGCAGCCGCCGAGCGCCGCGCCGCTCTCGCGGCCTGTCTATATTAGATTGGCCGTAATTATGTCAGGGTCACGAATTTCTTGAGTGACAGTTTGATCAGGGGGTTGCCTGTAAAAATGCCGCGTTATTATTGTCGCTTTTGCTATTGTTACGATGCTCGCTGATTCATCTGGCCCGTGGTCCCTTGGGGCCTAGATGACAATTGTCTGCGAATGGATTTAATTAGAGCGGTTTGTATCGGGAATTTCTTTGTTATAAAGTATTTCTAGGTCGCTGACGAAACTACTTTTTGTGCGTGTTAAAAGTCCGTACCAATGTGTAATGGAGTTAATATCCGAATATAAAATTTGGAAGAGTTTATATCCAAAACGCGATATATCCAGTTGAAAAGAAGTAAAATGTGCACGTTTATCAAAGTTTGGTAAGTTAAAATATAAAACAATATAAACGGCTGTAAACTTCATTTTTCGCTTTATTGTCTTTAAATGGCGCTTAAACTGACTTTGGGCAGCCAGGCTAGGAGGGAGCGGGATTCAAAAAGGTAACGAATGGCGTTTATCGCGTTTTGCAAATAGACTCTTTGGTTTATCATTTGTTTATCATGAATTAATTGAACCCTTTCCTCCCTTCCTTATACCACCTTTTTTGTTCAACAGGGAAAGTAAACCACGGCAGTGTAGCGTAGTCCTTATTGCAGGTGGCGGGGACATGCTTATAGGGGTAACTTTTTCCGGAGGAGGTAGACAGCAGTGAGTTCATAGTTTCAAACAATACAATTCATGGATTTGTTCGCCTTCTTCAAATTCAGAGCGAGGGGGCGCTTACAGATCTTGAGCCCGGAGGAACCCCCAGGCGCGGTTCCGTAAGCGGGGGGGGGGGGGGGGGGGGGGGGGGGGGGGGGGGGGTCAATTTTCCCCCGAGCTCTGTCAACAGAAAACAACAACAATTAATAGCAATTCCTTTATATATATGCAACCCCCCCCCCCTGCTCTGACACCCCCAAAATGAAACTGGTAATTATGTCCGCCTATGCCTAAAATACGGACAGATCCAACTTGGTTGGGGTATATTTGAACACTATTCTGTAAAATAGTGTTAATAATCATCGGATTTGAACAGCGCCCCCATTGAAATTATAGGTACGAGCCTCAACCCCCCCCCCCCCTTTTTTTTCGGATGCCAAGTGTCCGGAGACAAAAACTGTCTACATTTCAAAATAAATGTGAACCCTCCCCTGCGAAAATTCCTGGATCCGCCCTGAAACACCCCCCCCCCACCCCCGTTACGCCAATGTACCTCTAATGACGCAGTAGCATATTTGTTTCAAATAATGTTTAAAAAGAGCTTATTCTGTCTTTTCCTATAGTTCCTGAGCAGGGGTGGCCTCGACCGTACCCCTCCCTAAATCCTTTAGCTACGCCCACTCTACCGAGTCGTTACATTGCTTACCCCGATTTTTGGTGATGAGTGTATTTTGGTTGGAGTTAGCCAGCCGTGTAGTTTCATCCCCCCCCCCCCCCCATTTTCCGCTGGCGATGGCCTTTAATTTTAAGACATTTATGTTTGTTTCGGTCTTCTTTAAGTTCCACTAACATGTTAAAAACTTGTGAATGAATTGCTGATGGTTCGAGTCAAATTAAAAGCATACATTGACCAAAAAGGGGCTCATGTAACTTTATTTCGAGTAATGAGTCAGAAACATAATTTCTAATTCCAAATTTAAATACTTTAATTCATTAATTTCATAAAAAGAATTCACACTTTATTTAATCCGTAATTTAAAGCGACTCGCTGTCACATGTGCACCCAGTACACAGGTGACATGACTTGTTTCATGGTTTTAATTTTATTTTATTGATTTAAAAAGTTTTTGCGATGGTTACTCGGATTTAAGCGAAAGCACAAACAAAAACAAAAAAAGAGCAAATTCACCAACTGGATTTTTTCACAATTTGCATTGTGTGAGAATCTCGCACCTGCATATTGCATATAAATATGCCTACAGTTGTACTTGTGTGAACTTAACTTCCTTGCTGTATGTCCAGTGCAACCACAAAGAACAGACGAGTTCTGTTTACTAAGTTAAAACCAATGACCACTCAACGTAAAACCAATCAACAAAATGTTATAATACACTACGCCTAGATTTGTCAAGCTTCTAGTTTTGCCTGCGTTTAGTGTAAAGACTCTTAACCGGCCATTTTAGCTCTTGAACGGTAAAGCGTGTTGCAACTTGATCCATGATCCTTCGCCCACCAGCTAGTGTAGAGGAATTATAACCATCGACATGTCAATGCCATGTCATGAGAAGGACCCGATAGGGTTCTTGTCAAGCGGTACTTGATGCACAGATGAAGCCGGGGTCTAGGCTTTTGACCGTCTCCGGGTACCAGACGGGGTTAATTAATCCGTTGTACTTGAACCCACGGTCTGCCTGTTTTAGGTCTACTGTTGTTGTATACGAAAATAATTGGAGATATTTGTTGGGGAAACCACGCACTGACAATCACCAATTCACGCACCCACGCATCACATCAACGACCAGCACTCTGCCACCTAATTACCACAAATTAATCTTTTATTTTTAACAAGCATCGGAGCGCAGTTTGCAACAGCCCAAAACCCATATTATATCGCAACCGCATGTTGTCAAGTTTCATTATTTCGTCTAGTTAGTTATTAACTGTCACTGTTTGACGTGGTCGTTAGAAAGGTAATGAGGCCTGCACGAAAAGTCATTGTGGCTCTGTTGTCATTTCTCCACGTGGGATATATATAAAGGCCAATTATGGTCGTTGCCCCATCAATAAATCCATCTGTAGGGGAAACTTAGTCAATGGAATATTGCACAGCAAGAGTCTATGATATTCGCGCAGATTCGGTGATTAATTATGCAAAACAAGACTGCGTCTTGACCTCGAGATTCTGCCCATTCAGCGAGCTTCTCCTATCGGGTCTTCCGTAACCCGCTTAACACAGCAGCCAAATTGACCAATCAGCAGCTTGGTCCACATCTCTGACCGAACTGACGTCACAGTTTCAAAGGTCGACTCCGATAGGCTGGCGCACGAGGTTGCATACATTTTGCATCAAGGTAGTTTGCGGAGACACCATTTGAATTTACTCTCCTGCGTGACGACTGCCAGAGTATGCTGTCAGAAACGTCGAGTTCAAACCGTCTCTTCTCCGAACCGTCACAAACTCACAAACTGAGAGATTAATTTCACACCCTTGCTGTTTTCCTCACCATACAAAATTTCCATTCTTATCTAGAATTTGCATGCTATCCTATTATAGGATAATTAGTATCAGACGTTCGTTCGTGGTCTCAGTCTGCGCACGTGAATCACGGTGAATGTCTGATCCTCACACCAGGGGAAATGGGATTATACAGTCAAATGTGGGACTCAGCTATATATTTTAATTATCGACACCTATGTGACACTAAGTAATACACAGTGACACTTGGGACAGTACGTTTTAACGAATGAGGTAATTGAAATGAAAATTAGTTTTGACAGACAACTAAGTCATTAGAATGATCCGGTACTTCTGCAGGTTATTAAAAATTAGGCTTTTGTCTCATCACACAATTTTGTGGGCGATGAACTTGAGGGTTTAAAATAAACATCAACAACAACAAGGGTAAAAGCCGTGTACCGAACTGTGAGCTTGTATTTCTGTGAAATGTTGATGAAATTGAGCCCTAAAAGCGCTCCATTTTGCAATGATGCGTAGGCATCGCTTTTTAAAATGGTGATGGGCTTCAGGACTATGTTTAGGGGTGATCGGATGGAAATTTCTCCCAAAAGTCATTGGATACCCCCGTAAATTACAGAACATGAAAGATGATGAAATGAGCTTTAATTTGATGCGTGTCTTGAACACCTCAGAGAGTATAGTGAGTATTTTTTATTTTTTTTTAATGATTTAGGGAAGTGCGCGTAATTAGATCTATGGCAGTGTAATACTGGACCCTTTGGTGCCATTAAGATGTTTCGATCTTGACAATGACCTAATTTATCACGGAATGACGATATCTTACACGTAAGACGTCGACATCCTGAGACGAAATTTTATCACTCGGATGGCGAAATCTTACACGTTAGATGTCGACAACTGGAGATAATCTATCAAGGAATAACGACATCCTAAAAAGTATAGGACTTCGACAACATGAGAAGGAAATCTTCATCCTAAAATAAAAATAGGATGTCGTCAACCCACTCTCGGGATGTTGTCATCCCGTGATTTTATTGCACTGTTGACATCTTATAAGATTGTCCGCAAAGTGCAATAGCGCCCTCTGCTGTCATCTTTAAATTTCACACGAACGCATTGTTTGATCAAGAAATGAGGTGGCTTACAATCAATATTATGTTGCAATCTCTATTCTATGTGTTTTGTGAAGAGTATTATAAAACAAATATTATGGCATTCCATTCTTCAAGTAAATCCTCCTCAATAATAAAGCGAGAACGAAATGTGCACACATGCCAAATGTTCAATCAATATACGTTAGGCCTAACTGATTGATTTTAAAGTTCAAAAGATCTCACAATCATATTATCTTTCGATCATCAATCTTATAATGATTTGGACACACGGCTGTCCAGTTCGTAATGCTCCAAAAAAAAAAAACCACCCACTGTACCATTCCTTCCACGACTTAATTGGTTTATTTCGTAAAAGTCGAGGCTCCTTATTCACGACCTGTCAGCTTTAATCCCCGTCCGAGGAAACCGCAACAAAAGACCGTCCCGTTACCGGCAATTATCACGTCAATAATTAATCCGGTCTCGCCTGTTATGTGGGACTTAGAAAGAGGCGGGAATTATTAGCCAAACGTTTACGGAGAGAGTCATGAATAATTCAACGCCTTGAAGACTGCACGCGATAACAATCATTTATAGTCTGGCATTTTTTCCCCCAGACGTCTGCTGAATAGACACCTCAATTACTGTTAGTCTATATTACGCAAATACCACACTGCATAATTAGCCTCACTACACGAATCATTGTATGATGACTCCATCACATTGAAGGATACATACACTACTAGATTAGGTAAATGACCGTTGAGGAAGTGACTCATGTATAATTTTGGCACAAAAAAAAATTGCTTCACAATTTCTTTACTTCATAATAAAATTGCTTACACTATACAGGCAGAGGTATGTTGTGCGCAAGCATGAATACCGAGTGTGCCAAAAAAAGTGCAACATTCAGAAAACAAATAAATAAAACTGTTAAATGTTTTTGTTTTCGTCAATAAAATTATGTATTACATTAAAGCCTGACTATTTCTCAATCCACTCCTTTTTACCCCATTCCATTTGGATCCCTAGATCTATAGAGATACAGTCAATTAAGTGGAAGGGTGTCAATTTTACTTGGGCCACTCTCACCTGTGATGTCGTCAACTTCAATGCCTATTCAATGCTTAACCCAGATTCAGCATGTCCAGGTGAGAGTGGCCCAAGTAAAATTGACACCCTTTCACTTATTACTGATTGTATTTCTGGATCTAGGGACCCGAATGGAATGGGGTAAAAAGGAGTGGACTGAGAAATAGTCAGGTCAGACTTTAATGTAATATATAATTTCACTGAAGGAAAAAACATTAAACAGTTTTAATTATTTGTTTTCTGAATGTTGCACTTTTTGTTGGCACACTCTGTATGTATAACAATAAGTTATCTTTTAAAACTGTCATCTTGTGGATTAATTATGAAAATGGTATTACAAAACTAAAGTTTCCCCTATAATATGTCATTACACGATGCAGCCGATAAAGTGAATCGATAAACTGAGTAAGTTGCGCCATTCGAAGCCAATTGTAATCGATTTTCTTGTGCAACGAATTTTGGTGGATTCAAAAACTCACCACTCATTTTGTAACTATACTTGTAGAGTGTCTTTTATGTCGACGGAGCACTCTCCCCTATGCATAATTATTGTAATAATGTAGATCGATCGATCGTCGAAAACAATATTTGCGATTTTTTTTTCAAAAAGGGTTTTGTGTCCATTTTCATCAAGTTATATGTAAGTTATTTCATGGGAGTAGACGATGAAGACGCATCGCACAGACAGATCCATCCTGGATGGGCCGGGCCGCGCCGGGCCGGGCGACGGAACCGTTCTTCAGCTGCTACTGCGTCTGCTTGGTATAAACATGATTGTGCTCGATATATGACAAGAGAACCAATCATAACAATGGATGCCGTAAAAAAGTCGCATTTCTCCCGTTTTTATCATGGTAAAAGCAAAAGCAAGGGGGGGGGGGGCAACCTTTTGTTTTGGTCCCCGATAAAGTGAGTTCAAAAATGTTCTGCTCCAAATTTAATATGAAAAGCAAGGGGTGGGGGCACTATAATAGCATGGCAATGGTGCATGGCGTCGCAATGTTGATGTTGCATACGCAGTGGCTACCTTTTTGGCGAAGTCACTTAAAAAAAAATTGGTTTCTTTTTGTTTGTTGGGGGGGGGGCTGGCTCCCGTTGCCCCCCCCCCCGCCCCCGCCCCCGCCCCTGGACTTTGAGTGAAAAAGAGAGAAAATGTACTTTAACATATCTCGAGTTGACATCATTATATGCGTCTTTTTTTTGTCTGAACATCATTTTGTCTTTTACAAAATGAGTTCGAATGGCCTATACATATTAGTTGTTACATAGCTTGTGAATTAACACAAGAATGTAAGGATATAATTGCCTTTCGAATTTCTTGGTGTTCGTAAAAAAAAATATAATTTGCAAGATGTGGTCTATTGAGTAGCTTTAAGTATTAAAGCTGCATAATTTTAACTGAATACTAAATTTTGTTCAATTTCGAATACTCAACAAATTTGCGTGAAAAATTCATTGGTTTCGCAGGTGAAATTTTGTAAAAAGCAATCGCGTGTTTCTTGATAGAGGGCGTCAAGCAGCCAATAATGTTGATGCTTTTCGGGCGAGATTTTGGGTGGTAGAATCTAACTACTGATCGACCCGTAATCCGTGTGTTGCCCTGATATAAAACCCAAATTATGAAACCTGACGAGCCACGGATGGTTGCTGACAGGACAAGAAAGAAGTTCTGAATAAATGTGTGTTTATTTTGCTATTTTTGGTGGGGGTATTATCGGCCGCGCAGCGATAATACCCCACCACGCAGGTTCTCAGTAATACGAAATAAGGAGATCCGAAATATAAATGACAGGGGTCCGTATATTATCAGCCAAACACCCGGGTCAGTGCCCTGCAACGTCGGCATTCTATAAACGCCAATACTGTGTAAACAAACAAGATTAAAGCCACGATTCTCATTTTTTGTTGAGAAGTGAATATGGAGGGAAAAAGACCTCAAAGATATTCCGCATTGTATTCAGGAATTCTAAACCTAAGAAGAGAACACCACTTTTTTCCAGAGCTTGACAAGTTGTTTATTTTCGGAGCCTCTTTTGGATGGAACCTAGGTGCGCAATTAGAGATGGGGGTGGGTGAATAACGATGACATCAAAGGGGCCGCTAACTTGGCCAGTATTGACCAATCAGCATCAAAGAAGTTGTGGGTGACAGAGCGTGTGATGCGATAGTGTGGTTTGTTTGCACCGACGACTGATACATGTTTCGTTTTGCGGTTGCCAACACATGCATGCATGTACGGTATGCATGCAGGATTGCGTATTATAGGGTATGCATTCATAGTTCCAAATATGGGTCAACAAAACTAAAAATTTCATAAGCAGGGCCTTGAGTGCCAAGTTCTTAATTTGAGTATTATAGAGTAAAAGGAAAAATGAACAATTTTTTGTTTTAACGTCAAAATGAGTTTGGAAATGCATTAATGTTGGGAGTAGATTAATCGATTTGTAATAGTTTTGAGACAAAATCTGTTTCTTTCGAATATTTGCCACAAAAGTCTGCCTTTTCTCCCATTTTATAGAAACCACCCCGCTTCTGACAATCTACAGTACTTTTTCGCCGCTAGGATTGAACCAGATGCATGTGGAGTAAATTCACAAGAACAATTCAGTTTATAAAACATGTTTGACCACTCCCACAAAAAAGGAAAAAAATAAATTTGGTTATTCTGCCAGATGCACCATATTAACACGAATGATAGAAACCTGAATTGGAGACAGAATACAACAGCCGTCGAATCACGACACTGCCAGTGAACAAAAGAAAGGACCGCCCCATTCATTCAACGTGTGTGTTGGCAGGTCTCTTTTTTTTCTACCAGCACAACACATGTGGTAGTGGCGAGTGGACGAAGGAGCATCGTGATTAGTGCACGCTAGGATAATTTCTTCGTGTTTTCTTCCACTTATGTCGTCTCTGATAGCCCGAACGGATAGCGAAATTCACGATGGGCTACGATTTGGAACGATTTACCAGACCGGTGGACGAGGATTTCAAGTGTAGTATCTGCTTGGCGGTGCTGGAGAATCCATTGGCCACGCCGTGCGGACACGTCTTCTGCGGCAACTGCGTGCTGCCCTGGGTCGTGCAGCACGGAAGCTGCCCGCTCAAGTGCGACAAGTTCTCCACCAAGGAGCTCAACAACGTCCTCCCGCTCCGCAACCTGATCATGAAGTTGGAGATACGCTGCGACAACCATACCCGAGGCTGCCAGGAGGTGGTAAAGATCCAAATGCTGCCCCAACACCTGGAAGATTGCGATTTTGCGCCGGTGACTTGCGCCAACAAAGGTTGCGAAGCCGTGGTGAACATCAAGGACCAGGTTCAGCACCAGACGCAGCAGTGCGAGTACCGGCCCGTGGGCCGGTGCGAACAGGGCTGTAACCTGGTCCTCCAACACAACGCCGTGGCGGACCACAGCTGCCTGAAAGCCATGCAGGCCCACTGTGCCAACTTGCAGGCCAAGATATCGAGCCAGGAGCACAGTCTCAAGAAGACGACTGTGAGATTCGGCAAGAGGGAGAAATCCCTGCTGGCTCAGATCGCTTGCTTGCAGAATGAGATACAGATGCAGGCGCTCCGGTATCAGAAAAAGCTGAACGAATGCAAAGCGGAAGTGGAATACATGTCGGCAATGGCCGTTTATGATAGGGTGAGGAAAAGAAACACGTGGATTTACATTAATATTTTAAGTCATTTTCATTTACTGATTGAAGAAGTTTTTTAAGGTGTTTGGTTGTTAAATAATTTGTGTGAACAATAACATTAACTTGCAATTCTTAAGGCCTATTTCTAAAATTAATTTAACCCTAACCTCCCCAACTCCATCAAAATCCATCGCCACATTTCGGTGGATTTTGGGGGACTTGGTCCTGCAGGCCTGGTTTCTTATTCCTCCATGGTTTGACTAAATATTGATGGAGTTGGGCCTGGAGGACTAAAGCAAAGCATGCATTGGAAGCAGTGTGATTGATGGATTTTGGCGAACTTGGTCCTGTACTTGGTAAAAGACAGTAGGGGGTTAGGGTTTTAATGTTCATTCTCGGTTTTTGGTATCGATGGATATTTCCATTCTCTGTAGTGGATTACTATTATATAATTATTCTACTTTTGCAGTTTGGCCAACAAAGTTGAAATAATTATCTGTTTATTTAATCACATGTGGTACAGATACTACTCCTAGTCCAAAAATTTGGCACTATCAATAAGTACTCCATGAAAACATTGTGACAAAAAATCTTGATGAGAAGCCCCATCTCCACAGTGTCATTCACCTTGCATGTATAATTTACCTTTCAATTTATACTTCTTGTAAAATTCAGTAAAATAAATTACAGCTTTTCAATGAAGGTCCCATACTATATTGTGAATGATACAGCCAGAAATGAAACCTTCGCTCAAATAATACCCAAGTATTGAAATTTGAGGTTAATTCGTGTCTGCCTTTCATAATCCCGGCCATCTATTGTCATTTTTAAAAGCTAAATGGCTAGCCTTCACATTCCATCTTTTCTGTCGGAAGGGCTGTATATTGAAGTGTCTCTTCAAAAAAAAAAAAGCCAGTCTGGTGGCCAACCACAGCCCAATGAATCAGCTCAGAATTATCCCCACAGGACACAGTTTTCTCCACAGGGTGTCCTGCCCCGAACAACAATCCCCCTCTCACGATTTGTGGTAGTCTGGTCTCCCTAAAGTCTTCTGCCAGACAGCCACTTGTTTGGCTCCCAAGGACTTCCGCCTGCCTGGACAAGGGGGACGAAGCCAGACCGCCTATCTCTAGCCTTCACTGGAGCCATAACCTCTGTGTGTGTGCACGCACCCACTCGCAACCCAATGCCAACTCATCACATCTGGGACAACGGCCTTTCAAATTGTCCAGAACCCCCCCCCCCCCATTCTACATTGATCTTGTTTATGTGCACAAAAGATACAAGCAGGCAATGTCCAGACTGGGAGGGTAAACAAGCGCAGTGTTTGGAATTGCTAGGCTGAGTGGCCAAATTTTTTTTTTGTCGGGCTTGTCCTTTACAAGTGCCGCTTCCATTGTAGGCTAGCAAACAGGCTTTGTTTACAGTGTAAATCATGGGATAATATTAAGGCAAACTTTTTTTCTCAACTGATGATGTTGTTTTCTGGACTTCTCTGCTTTTTTTCCCCTGGACCTTGGGGACATCACTAAATAGGCTTTGAGACTGAGTATTTATTTCTGACCCTCACAAAGTAAATATTTTTGATTAATGACAAACATTGAAGAAAATCTGTTTAAAAAATACAGTTTATATTAAACAAAGATTATGCACAGTAGACTAGCCAGTGATTTTATATGATTCATTTTTTTCTCACAATAAATGATAGATCTCACACATGTGTATCAACATGGCACTGAGAATATGCTTGGTGGAATACAATTTCTGAACTGAAAAAGAAGTCATAGGCTTGTTGTAAATGCCATACAATGTTAAGCAACCCTGAAAGACATTAAAATACAATTTGGATGTATGCACACATACTTCAGCATTTCACTTCATTGAAAGGGATACGGTTAGATTCATACAATATGTGTAATTGAAAGAACATGTTATTTTCCTGAGTACTTTTTGAGTTTTGGGGGCCATTTTTCACTTGTAGTCAGCTTCCCTATTGCATTGTCACTGTCTCATAATTTGCTTTTTCTTAAAACTGAAGGTGAAACTTGGTACTTATCAGTATCACACCTCTCTATTACGATCAAAATTGATGTGGTCAACTTTATGTACCGGGTAAGCGTAACAAAAATAAACATGGCTGTCTTAGGGTTCCAAAAATCCAAAGTGCTGTGACCAGAACTTGGCAGTTGGTCCCAACCGGGCAATTAATTTCACGCTAAATATTTCGCACAAATATCAAAAGAACCCCGCGGTGCGACAAATTTGTTATCGGTCGTCCTCTCGAAGGCCTGGTGAGAAGTGAATGCGGTGTGGTTGAAATCAAAGTCCATTCTTATGAGGAATTTCCCAGTACGAAAATATCAGAACCACGAGGGGGGCTGTGGATCATGATTTTGATGTGTTCAGCAGGATGTGATTTTTTAGAAGGAACGTTATTGGAGACTCCCCTACGTTTGGAAGTACATGTGTATGCATGTAAACAAGACTCAAAATGGCCAGGAATTTTGTGAAATTTCTGTGTAAAAGAGCTTCTGATTTTTTTTGTCGCAGTTTTTTTAAGTGAATGACTGAGTGCAGAAGTAAAACATTTCTGGTAGCTTTTCAAACTGTTTGCTGATAAAATCCTCATTTCACTTTCAGTAACATACTTTTGTCTATTCTGATGTTTCAGTAAGTGTTATTCATGCCATTTCTCAACTTATTTTCAAGAGGAAAGGCATTAAACAATTTTCTGTTTTGTTTTTCCACAGCCTTGCGAAGAAGTTCCTCTCGCTTTGCAACTTGGTCGCGAAAATGGCAGCCTTGGATTTAATATAATTGGTGGCAATCGGGTAGGTTGCTTGTCTGTCAGTTTCAATATTGACAAACTTTGTACTGTTTTTGTTTCGATTTTAAAAGTGAAAATAGGCCTTCATGTAGGTAGGTATTTACTCGGCAATACACGATGCCATTGTTGTACTAGTCAAGTCTGTCACGAGTCCTCACAAGTCCATCTCAAGTCCTCCAGTCCCAAGTCAAGTCATAAGCTATTCAAATGAACTGTGACAAAAGCATTCCTTTGTAATTATTCATCCCCTCTTACATGAATTTGTGGCTGGACTTGTGAAAGGATTACTTTTGACCAGACTTGTGTTGGACTTGGGATGGTCTGGACGACAACATTGCCAATTATGCATCATTTGTCTGAGGCACATGTATCTCAAAGTTTGCTGCAACAAATAACATGAGTCACTATGCATTCATTTGGACCCTATGTATAAACTGTGGTATTGTCAGCACTGGTAATTATGCAGTAGTCCTATGTGTAGAAAATATTTAGCAAACTTCATCATGTCTCCAGAGGGCAGATTTCAAGGCTGTTTGATGGTTACATAACAGCGGCACTGCTGAATCAATTTTGTTTTGGTCATGATAGGAAGATGGATCAGTGAGGGCCAGAACAAGAAGTTCAGACCAGTTTTTGAAAAGACTTGAAAATGGGCAATGGGATGTTTAGAATCATGTAAGATAATGATCAAGCTGCAGTTGAAGCCTTTTCACTCTGTCGTCTCCCTTACCTATGTTGAAATCAACACAGCTCCACTCCACAGTAGGCTAAGCGTAACTGGGTCCAATTGAACACTGGTAGGCAAGGCATACCACACAGGGAGACATCGCTTTGTTCTCTTGTGTGCAAAATCGTGAGATGGTTGAAAGCTATTTCAAAATGCTCCTATTTTAACCAGAATTACTTTCCTGGGTTGAAATTCCGACCAAATATCCCTTACATAAAATACTTAAATTTGCGACAATAAGTATACCTTGAAAATTCCTACTTTTTGAGTAAAGTTCATATATTTATTTCGAGAAATCCTTGTGGAGACCTATTCACCTTTAGAAATTGCCTTGTGGAGACCTTTACAATCTTTTGTTCTGTATTATACTCGGGTCTCCACAAGGCATCATTTTTTGAAACACCATTCACACTTAGTTACACCTGTGTGTACACGGGTCAGCTGTAGATTTTGGATTTTCTATCCGGGTAGAGCTTCTCAACCCTGGTCTCGACCAGGATTGGAAGTTACCCGTGTAGAGCACCAAACCCGTGTTGAAGCCATGTTGAAAGGGTTCCCCAAATCTCTGCACTGGACCCGGGTCCATCACAGAGATTTTGAATAGTGAAAAAAGGCCCTTACATAAGCCCACAAGATGTGTTACATCTTGTGTTGACATATTTTATGGCCTTTAATTCAGATGTTGTCCCAATTGTAGTCAATGCACTTGTGTGTGGTAAATGATGGTAGTGTGGTGGGGAGGTTGTGTCGGCTGCTTTTGAGATGGAGTTTGTCTTTGGTGTGATTTATGAAAGAAAGTTATCACAAATCATGTGATAAGTGACATCTGCACACCTGTGCTGGATTCATTGGTTGATGTAGTCAACACAGTGTGTAAAGGATTTACCAGAGGCTTGATCATTGCCCCATAAAGTAACATTAACAGTACAGAGCCCCTTTAAATCATCCTGTTAATTCCTTGGGGTAAGTGCATGGAGACATTAACCCCTGATGTGTGCACATTGATGTATGTGTTTACAGCAGTTAAAACCAAAGTAAATGTCACAGTTAACCTTTACGGGACTCGTTAAACTGTCATTTCACACTTTTCGCTTAAAATTTGTCACTTAAAATGTGTCACTAACAACACATAGCTACGTTTTGAAATTTCTAACCCTCACAATATCAGTTAGGCCCCCTCCAAACTACAGTATCAACTTCTTGCTCAGTTCCTGCAACGAGACCATTTAATATTTTTTTAACATTCCTATTATGGTCTAAACAATAACGAAATAACTATGTGCTCGGCCAGTTTTAAATAAGGGCCACATATTTATTCCCATTCATGAATACCATACCTTTCAGTAAAACAAATCTAAATACCGGTAAGTCAAACATTCACAATTTTCCAACGATTTTGTTCAACAATTTTACCTCGCTTATGTTTTGTGAAAGACCCCTCTGGCCATGTTTGTGGTATGTGCCTCATGAGCATAGTGCTCAAAATTATGGAGATTGGCGCATGCAGCGAATGCGGTGCGATGTGGCGCAGAATGCAGCGCTGCAGGAGTTAAGTGTTTAAAAAACCAGAGCTGTCAGTGGTTTTAAACCGCCCATGTGACGGGCTGCTGACCAATAGAAACGGGTAAACTATCAGCCATAAGTAACTGCTTTGTCATTGAAAATATTCCAACTGTATCTTTTAAATAATTTCTGTCAGATGAAGGATTAACGTTCAATTTTAAGGGAGCAAGTATAGGGCCTAGATGTGATCAACAAAACAATTGACAAGAAATAAATTTACAAATAAAAATTGCACATTGCCATACCAATTTTAGAGTAAGCTTGGGACTTCTATAAATAGTAAACTAAGTCAAGACGCATTAACGTTAAAGGCATACACGTACACAACTTTCTGCACACTAACGTGTAAACATGAGTTGTTAGCATCCCTTTTATTGTGTTGCAACATTGTCCTACTTTTTGCTTTTTCAGAAGCAATAGTACTCCCTTTGCCGAAACTGGTTTGAAAAGGTGTTGTTAAGTGGCAAAAGCACTCACAGCCAGTGCAGTTGTATTCCTGTTTTTGTTGCTGCCGAAGTTGGTAGGCACTCATCCCCTGTCTTGAGACCGGGGAAAGTTTTCGCAAGGAAGTGTGATTATCCCTCATCATAGAGAAAACCTCTGTTAATCCTCCTCTCCATGTCCTTAGTGACTAATCCCTCCTCTTGAGTCTTAAAATTGGACCCGGTATGAGGCTGGTGTGGTGTTAAAGTTAAAACCCCAGGCAAATTTCCTGGGAAGGTTTGTACATAGGGCATAGGCCTAGGTAGGTATACATGTAGTTGTTAAGGCCCAAGTATAAAAACAGTGGATGAAGTTGGCCAACCGTTCTGAGTATTACACAAATGCAACAGTATACATGTACATGTAGCAGGCCCGTAGTCAGCATGGTGGAAAAGGGGGGGGGGGGTGTTTTAGCATAAAGTGGACCTTTATACCATAAAATGAACCATTACGGCACTATCACTGTGTCGCCTTCTTGATCTTTCAGACAGATCGTTTGGAGACTAGACCAGGCCGCCAGCTGCGTGCCCTACACTGCTACAACTGCAGCGCGGACAAAAATAACAAAACTGCCATGTGCGATGTTACAACTAATACATGGGCTTCAAATGTAGTGCTTGATGGAGCTTATGCTGTTAAATTAATCCTGTTGAACTATCTGCGTAACTTAAGAATTCTTTCCCAAAGCGCGCACACAAACAAATTTTGAGTTAAAACTAAAATATCAATTGCGAAGAAACAGTGGACCTGCGGCCGATTGGGGGGGGGGGGGTCATTCGACGTCATATCCTTGTAAGGAAGGATGTACCCAACACTAGTTTATTCATCAGTTGCTTGGAAGATTAAACCCCAAGCAGTTTATGAAGGAGCATCTTTGTTCTTGGAGCAGCTTTACTCCCTGGCATTGTCTGGAGGGTTCATTGACTGTAGGGCATGAATCACCCTATGATCACGCCGTACAGAAAATCAACAGCCCATGCAGCCTTCTCCCCAAAGAAAGAAATGTTATCAAGCCTTCAAGTGGAAGAGTGTAAACAACACGGAAGCCTCTGAGAAGAAGACCCATGAAGTGTCTCAATTAAGACTGTGGGTGTACAGAGTGTATGGCAACTTCCTCTAGTTTTGAAAGAGTGTACATTGCCCACAATAGGATGGGGGAGTCTTGCAGAATGAGTTTGGGCAGTTCCTGTTTCATTTTGAGAGAGGTGGGGCTTGGGGGGTTCGGAGAATGATGCATTCTGGAGTAGTGACCTCATGTCCAGTGAGGTAGCACATATTGCACCTTTGTGCATCCTGTGTTAAATTTCAAGGTAAATCACATCTGGGGTATTCAGCTGGGGTCAACAATCTTGGGCAATTGACTCCAGTTTTACGTAAGAAAAAAAGGAGAAGACGTATTTCTTGGTTTGTGTTTGGTCGTTGGTGGTTGTGGAAGCCCGGAAGGCACAATTGAAGGACTCGAGATTTGGATCTACAGTTTTTGCATTGAACTGTTCAATGAATTAACTTGGCTAACGTTGATCACCATGAAGCATTAGTTAACTGTCTGAGTTCAGAATTAATTGCCTCAATTTGACCATGATTTGACAAAATGAAACTGATGGTCGGTGACATTTGAGCCAATATATTGCTAGCTGTCTCAACTCAAGCTTGTGTAATTTTGAGTCGTTTTTACTGATTCACTGCGCGCAAAGAGTTGAATATTAATTAACCAATTAATTTAACCAAACTGTTAGTTAAAACAAAGTGTCACATGAGATTGATGTTATTTTGGTGTGTGGGAGCAAATGAACGGAAGAGGAATTTTACTTAAGAAACTTTGGCATACCAAAATGTGGACACTTTTTGCAGTTTTCTCTTTCAAGTTGAGTTCATACTTGTAGTTGTACAGTCACTGCACATGTGAAACACTTGCCCTTGAATTACAACATTGTACAAAATTTGTTTACCTGTGGTTCCTATCATCTTTTCTTAATTATATTGTGTAAACAGTGTTCTCTTTGTACAAAGACGGAATGAGAAAGTATTGCTTCAAAACTGATGTGAAGAAAAAAAAGCTAGCTATGGAATCACAATGTACTGTACATGCACACGTACATGATGAACTGTAGCACATTACGGTAGTGTCATGTGCATCACATGCGATCAAGATTTATAGCGTCTGCCCAATCGGCTGAAAATCCCAATAAATCTGATATTTCTGACAACTGCTGCTCTATCACCCAGCACCACTCTAGCAACCCAAATATGGCCAGGCGAGCGTGTATATTACTGTAGGGGGAATTGTTAGTTTGTTTGCACGCTCAATTGGAAAGTAACGATCGGGGGAGACATTGTTTGGCAACCGCGGAACATTTTTTTCTTCTTCTGCTTCTCCCTACTACTGAGATATGAAATATTGGGTGTTGCGGCAACACATGATTGTCATCATTCACGAGATTCTTTGGCGCACTTGGAATGTTCACCCAAGAGAGTGTTTATCATGATTGGGAATTTGCGCAAGCTTGTAAATCATGATCTTCTGTGGTTCTTGAGCTACGGGAGAGAGAGAGTGGGATGTTTTACTTTGTCAATTATCAATTGTGTATGGCCCACTAAAAACTATCTTTGAAAATGTGGAGTGGTTTTGAATAAAGGGAATCATAGTACATGATGACATACTTGTTTTTAAAGGTACGTGTAGGACCATTTTCTTTTTGTACATTAAAAAAAAAAAGTAACAAAATTACTCAAAATCTTATGTAGGTAGGGTGCATAAACCTGCAGACATTTTTAGATAGTGGCTATTGTACATTGTGAAAAAATGTATTCACAATTTTTGGTACTCGTGACTGAATTCTGTTTCCCCCAGGCACACTTTTTTTATAACCTCCTTCAAAGTTCACTGATATGATTGATTGACACCGTTTCTTGTGGAATACGGTAATTTAACGGGGTATTTGGAACCAGACATTATATCCACTAAGTTTGAGGTATTTTTTTTCTCATTAAACCTGTAGGTACATTTCTGGGTTAGGGTTAACTTCGTGCCTTTAAAACTAGTGTAGTTGTTGGGGCCAAACAAAAACTGGTTGGCATGTGTGCCTGGTGGCCATGTGTGCCACATGTGTCTGTACACAGTGTGCATTGCTACTGAGTCTACAGAATTCAATTGAAGTGAAGTCATTTTTAAGATAACATACATAAAAGGCTGAGTAAAAAAATATATTAGTTTCTCGTCAAGGCTTTTTGGAAAAATAAAGGAGTCGGGCGTTTATTTAACCCCCCAAAATAGCGGATTTTCCATTATTGCGGATGGAATCTTCTATTTTATCGACTCTTGTGCTGATAAAAAACAAACAAAAAGACAATATATTGCCAATATGCCAATTCAAATTGTATTCTGAATTCTAAAAAAAAAAAAGGAAGCAGATGTGGACAAGAAACTGGTTTATGGTTTTACTTGGTTTAATCGGGAAACTAGTAGAGTTGTTTTATTGCCTTGCAAGAATAAGATATTGAATTTTTGTTATTGAACTGTTTCTTCAATTGTTGTATCCTGATCCTTAAGCTAAGCCAAAACATTCCAGACACAAAAGCAACGCTTACATTTCAATTAGTAACAAGTTACCCGCCCGACAATGACCCAGTGTTCCCCAAAATGGAATATCACATGGCCTGTCACATGAAAAATGCTGGTCACATTAAACAGCAATCCCGATCCGCTGACAGAAATAGCTCCACCATTATTGGACATTCCTACCCTAGGGGCTCCCGGGCTCACACACACTGGGATTTTATTAGATTGCATAGTGCCCCTAGGACCAGATGGGTCTTATCAGGGTCTCCTATCAGGATTGGCAGAAACATTGGACTTGCCCTCAAAAAGGGGAAGGGAGCTCTTTTGAAGTAATGATACTCTCAATTTCCTTTCAGAGTTATTTTTTTACTGAAGATGGGAGGTCTCTCAGGGCAGCATGTTGGGTGATAGGGGAGGGTACGAGAGGGACTGTGGATGAGAGCATGGAGGTTTCTCCATGATGAGAGAGTGAATTTGCAAAGCCTGCTCACTTTAAAAGGAATCAATTGCCAGTAAATTTGTAACGAGAAGCACATTATTGATACTAGAGTACACTGAAACTGAGTTGATACAAATGTATTTGAAGCAGATGTGTAATACAGTAGCTGAATAATGTAATACAATGTTATACATTAGTATCTGCTTTAACTGATTTGTTACAAGGTTCAGGCTGGGTAGTTGGTTGTAGGTTGGTTGAATTCAGAGAATGAAATCACATTTCAGTGGTACATGAATGCGAAATGTGACATTAATTTTAAGCAACTAATTCCATACATGTACACATGTACATGTGTCCCAACAATTTTGTACTGTTCAAATGCTTTCTACATTGCCTGTGCGTGAGTTTTCTCCAAAGTGGCTTGTACTAGGTCAGTTTTGTCTAGTAGTTTTTCTGTCTTACAATGTACTTCACCATCTGTATTTCTGTTACTTAATTTTTTTTACCAGAGTACAGCAAGTGGGGATGGGGTTGCAGAAAAATTATGCCTGAAATGTTATATATGGGGGTGGGCTCAAGAACCATTGAGTTTCAAGAGCATAGGTGTGGGAGCTAGATAAACCAGTGTAAAAAAATTCCTGGATGTCCGCGCCTAGGTTGTATGCCATAAAGCTACATGTACAGGACTATATACATGTTGTTTGCCACAAAATGAGAGATCTTTAAGACAGGTACACATAAAACGTGAACTACATGTAGGTAAAATAAATTTCCTAGTCTTTCACTGACTTCCAATTGTGTTATTTTCCTTTTTAGGTTGAGGGTATTTCGGAGGGCATCATCGTGTCAAGGGTCATCGAGAACGGACCGGCGGACAAGTCTCAACTGAGGTTGCACGACCGCATCACAAAGGTATGTCAGTTCTTCTCCCCCAAATGCAGATAAACCTTTTAAGAAGGTGAAACCTTTTTTTTCCAGGTCAAGATCCTTTCCACTTTTTAGTTGAAGCATTATTCAGAAGTAAAGTTCCATTTTTTTAAAACTTGATCTTGGCAAACGTGTTTGAATTTGGTTTGTGTGATGTACAATGTACATGTATGTATGTACCTTTTAATTAATTCTGTCTAAGAAATTCATAAAATCTACACAAGTAGCGTGCACTGCAGTATTATAGAGTGGGATCCAATTTTACAAGCAACCAGTGCAAACACTGGGTTAGTTTGCGAAATCGAGTTCCGATCCATCGCTCTGCATTCACCCTGATTAAAAGCTTCCATTCATAGAACAATGAATGACCGTATATCACTGCATCGTGCACCGGACGTTTCTTGTGTGTGTGTGTGTGTGTTGAGTGTGCATTCACCTTGCTGAGGTCTTAATGCAAGATCAAATGCACGGGCTGCCCGAAGATCACGTTTAGCTGGGGACTGGTAAGTGCCGGGTGGTGATATATGAGACCACACAATGATCCGCGGTGCTAATTGAAGGTCTGCTTGACAGAAGCACGCTTAACACACACACTCGCACTCCTACTCGGGGAATGGGAATGCCCAAATTGTCTGCAAACAAGTCATTTGGACGGAGGGGGGCAATTTGCTTGAGTTTGGGATCTGTGGTGTGGATGTGACTGGCCTTTGAAGATTGCCGGCAGCGCCTGAGCCCCAAAAATCAAATTAATAGGCTCTTTATACCAAGTCTTTGGGGACGTTTAATAGGCTATGTCTGCGACATTATGTGCCCAACATCCAGAGCAAGGCAGTAGTGGTTTGTCAAGAGCTTTGGTTTGAACAAACTTGTTTTAAGTAGTAAGATTTCCAGACTTTCACCACATCTATTGGAAAAAAGTTCTCAACAGCGGTATGCGGAAAGGCCTACACACGCATGTACTGATGCACATAATGTGCTGCACCCTCTATGCTAATGTGTATAGGAACAAAATGGTAGCGGCGAAAATCCTCACTACAGCATTCTCGTCACACACTCGTAGCGCAGCAACTCTCCAAAAAAGGAAGACCTACCCCTAGGGTCACCCCTTGTCTTTTGTTCGGCTATTGAAATTTAATACTCCCAGTGCTGTTAAATCCGCCGCTTCAGAAAAAAAAATTGCAAACACCGCACAGAACTTGTGAATGCTGTTCGACCTTCACAGATTCTACTGTTCAACCACTGTGCTTTCGTATTTGCTGCTCCACCACAAAATGTTGATTTTTGGTCAGCACTTTTGTGATTTCTCTGCAAATTAGGCAGTATCTTTTTTTCTTATTTGGAGTTTTTAATTCATGTCCAACCCACTTATATTTCCAGGGTGATAGAGATTTAAAGTGTCCTTGTGTGGTCGCTAACCATTCTGAATTGTTTGCAAATTTTAAAGGTCAGTGATACAGGTTTATAATAAATTATACCACAAGGTGCGTGCCATTCTGGGCAACCTGTTTTCATTGGTCACCTCATACTTCGAGTAAACAGCACAGGTCTTGAAATGTTTACATGAAGATTGTCAGGCCTAAGAAACAATTAAGCAGGAATATTATTCTAATTCGTTTAACAAAATACTTCCTTTTTTGTTACATGTTGTAGTGCACTACACTTTTCTTTTTTATGCCCCTGTTCCTCTGAGAGCGAACATTATGTAAAACACCAAAATGTAAAGATGTGCTTTTTTAAGAATATTTTCTGTTCAAAAATGTTACAGTGATCTTGAGCACAGATGTAAAAAAAAGCCTTCTGTCACGTCATGTTTTTCCCTTCCTTTTCTTTCCGGAGGAAGAATTTCCCTTGCCTCCCCAAGAAGTCTTTGACAGCAGTGCCATTGCCCTCTGCTAAAGTGTCAGAACGGAATAATTGGATTGCGTACGCTGCAAGGGACAAAAGAAGAAGAAGGAAAAAGATCCTTTTTTTGTGTGATGTATGCCTCATCAGCCGTTCCAACGCAGAATTGTAGTGTCCACTTACATCGCCCATCAAGGAAGGGCATAAAAGGAGTGGGGCAGTTCGGGCTGTGACCAAGTCTTGGTGGTTGGACAACATTGGAAAACAGTTTAACGGCTAGCCCAGTCTCCACCATTGTCCGGCAAGACTTGTTTTTCTCTGTGTGAATTACGGCCGGGGGAAGAAAACAACCCCTTGCTATAGTCCGGTATGTTGGCTCAGTAATTCCATCCGCAATGGGTGTCGTGAATCCCGGTATTTTGCGAGAGGTTGCACAGGTGATGTACCCCCATGGCAGAAAAGCCCCCTGTACAAACAAGACCACGGGTGCCCTCAATTCTCTCCCTTTCAGATTTTTTTCTTTCTTTTTTACCCCTACTTGCAAGGATCAACACGCCCTGGTGTGTTATTTTCTCCCATATTTTTCTCCGATCTGCGATCTTGGGTGGAGTGTTAGGGTCTGAGTGAAAAGTTGGGCATTTAAAGCCTTTTGCGGCACCATCAGAGGATTTGGAAAAGCTACGAGTCGGCTCTGTCGGCTCTATCACCTCCGTGTCAAGTGCTTGTTCCCTTTTCTTGCGAGGGTGGCAAACTGGGGGGTTTTGCCGACAGCAAACTTGTCAATTGTTTATACAGGACCCCACGGGCAAATTGCCCCCCCCCCCCCCCCAATTGCTGTCACAGGGCTCTAGGATCGACTTGAATCCGTTGCCTTTCGGTGCCGGCACTTGTTTTCTAGTTTGTCTTTGGGATGGCTGTTGATAAATGTTCTCATCATGGGTAACCGGTGAAAATGGACGGGGAGCCATTTATCCCTGCACTCTTTCATCTTGTCCCGAGCTTTAAAAGCCGCCGATGGAAGACCTTTTTACTTGTACACACATTGGCCATCTGGGCGGTTTGTAGGTGCTGAAATGTCTTCCTGCTACACTTTGAACTGTTAGTCATTTCCTCTTTGTGTCCCAATTTTCTAAATGTTGTGGTCCGCGATCCTCAGTAGCAAGAAAGTAAATTACTTAAAAAATGTAATTGTTGTAATGGTGTCGTGTTAAGAATGAGTGTCTCCGGTGTTCATATGATGCACAAGTACATGTAATTGTTCATGAGAAAAAGTTAAAACAATATTTGTGTATGTGTTACTGTTAAAGCCACATCGGAACATTTGCAATGTATACTGGAAAAGTACTTATTGATTTTAATGACAGAACCCTTGCTCAAAGTGAAAGATACATTGTAGGACTGGTATCAAACACCCTGTGAAACTTATTCTGTCTGAAATGGTATCGTTAGGAAGAAAACTAACAATGAAGTTTCCAAATAGGATGCCTGCTGGCACATTTTTTACTTATATTAGCAACACCAGTTATTCGACACCCCAAGTTACAATATTATGCAATCTATATTTTTTTAAAGCAATCCCCACTGAGATAATAACTCTACTTTATAAGATTTTGAGCAATTTTGTTTCTTCAAAGAAAAAAATGGACAAAAAGCAATGATCCTACAATGTATGCATAAAATGAATGTCTTTTGTGGTCGTACATGTACATGTACAGTGCACAATTTATTGTTTGTGAAAAAGATTGTTACGTCAGCTTGTTTTGTTGTTTGCTAATCTTACCGAGCCTTTGCTATCTTTTGAGGCATTTGTGTTCATTTGAAGCTGCAGAGTTTGAATCTTTCATAGTTAGATGCTCATATTTGATGTGAGATCAAGGTTACTCAAAACACGCTTCATATCTCGTCCAGTCAGTGTTAGTCACTGGGTCATCAACAGGCATGGGGGGGGGTTGAACCGTCTGCTCCACTATTGATTCCTATTGTGTTTGCGTCCCGTGTGGCCGTGGCTCGAACACTGCGAGAGCACAATGAAAGCACACTGGGCAAGAAATCACAACACACTGGCCAGCTGAGCTGTGTTAATTAACTCACAATAGCGTTTCCTGTCCGTTCAAAGGATGACGGATGGTACTACCAATGCATATCACACTCCAGTTGGCAATGACGTTATGCTGCACGTGCTGCCCAAATCGTCGAAGCATTATTTGGAAGAGGCAATATTTTTTTATTGACTGTAGGAGAGCAGAATTCTGACTGGTCGGTTCACCATCACGTGCCAGCTGATAGTTTTCCATAGGCTCTAGCAGTGTCCTGCGCAGGACAAAACCGCATGTGCAAATAGGCTTTGCGCGATAGTTTATTGCGCTTGCGTATTCCTGAACAGTAACCATGCAATAGTCTACTGTGCATGCATATTACAGAACAATCGTGGCAACGTTAGACCAAGATACCTAATGTGTAACTCGAGGAGATTTTGGTTAGTATGTCTGAGGTACCGGTATACATACATGTAGTTAAACAAATGTAACATGACCAATTTATTTCAGGTGGATAGACGCTACTAACTCAAAAATTGATTTTGCTGCAGTATTTGCCGACCTTGGTTGAGCTTTTTTTTTGGTACGTGGGTTTGAACCCTGACAGGGAACATGGCGCTTGTGTTCTTGGGCAAGACACTTTACTACGATAACCTCTCTCAACCCAGGAGCATAAATGGGTACCTGTGAAGGTAGAGACCAGAATGCGCTGATCTTGAGCTGCTGCAAAAACTGGTCTCATGGCCTGATGAACAGGGGTAAAAAACGCGCTTTGAGACCTTTGGTATAAAGCACTATAAAAACCACATTATTATTATATGAAGTCTGTCTTTCAATTGGACGTGCACACTCCAAGTACCAAAAGACATGCCCCAGTGGCTCCTTGTGGAGAACAGGCTTAATTCCATTTGCCGTTCTTGACTTCATCACAGTATAAATGCACTTTTTTTCCCCACTTAATGGTCCTTCAAGAGGGAGAAATATTTGTCTTCTTCTCTGAAAGGTAATAAAGACTCCCTGACACCTGTGAAAATATAATTTCCTACCAGAGACCTAACTTCTTTTCGCCAGCTCTTGTTTGAAAACAACACTTTCAAAAAAAAAGTATACCACGCCGGGCTCTCGGCTGTTCTTTGTAGTTGTGTTTGTTTAGTTGGCGGAACTCGCCAAAAGATTTGGGTAATCCTGCCTGAATAGAGGGAAAAATCCCCTTACACTTGACCAGACTTGAAAGTCAAAACGGGCAAATAAAATAGCGAGTGCAGTGTGCATGTACATGTACATGTAGGACCAAAAATCAATTTCACTCCTTTTTTTGCGGGGGAACCAGAACTGATGAATTCTTTACTGGCATGTTTAGGCCCAGAGGGGGCATTTAAAGTGTATCAATTTTTGTGAGAGCTGGGTAGATGTAGATCAGATTGGAATTCTGTGGTCTTGTCAGTGTGTGTCACTGTCAATGAAATTTAGGCTGTACCCCCATGACTTCATTTGAATTTTATATGAAAGGGGAAAGCCACAGACATGCAAGTCTTGCAACCGGACACCAAGCCCTGTAACTATGTATGTTGTCCACCCATACACTTTTAAAAGGGGATAATTTAATGTGAAGGAGCAGTTATAAATGTGTGGTTTGAAACCAGTTACAGGGGCCTGGTCGCTGATTACATTATTATCCCCATTCATAAATACCGTTTTGGTTAAAAACCATAAAGAGTTGAAAAGTTGACAAATTTTTGTTGACCAATGATTTTATTCTAGTCATTTTACTCCTAAGCCGTGTTCCCATTGGACTTTTTCTTCAGCGGCCACGCGGAAAGTTACCGTGACTGGCTTTGGTGTAATTCTACCTTGCGTTCCCACCTGGACTTATATTCCGCGACAGAACGGTTCATTCGCTGTTCGAGACTGGCAGAATGTCACACATTGCGGGTGCTGTGCACAGTCACCTTTGACCTATGCGGGATATGACGTGCCTCTGACGTAAATTTTCGTGCGCTTATTTGGAGAGTGTCCCACGTACTGTGCAATGTGGCACAGAACACAGCGGTGTTTACCGGTGGATTAAAACCACCTCCCCCCACATGATGGGCTCTCGACCAATAGGAATTTGGTAAAATGGCCCTGGTTGTTATGAAAAGAAAAAGCTGGACGAAATCAAGTGTTCTTTGTTTCCATATCTTTGTATAGTTATGTGTAATGTTTGTTGTTGATTTCATCTGAATGAAATAATAATAATAACCAAACGTAATAATAGAGACAGTATAAACGAACAAGCATGCCATATAGCCCAACCATTTTCATGTTGTTGAGAAGTGAAAGATGTGCATAATGATATTAATTTCTTCACGAGCAGTAAATGAAAATGTTAAAATGGCTTTGACTGAATTGCAGTTGATGGTACTTGAAGTTTAATGCACTATGGTACATAGAGACTACAAGAGTTGAACAGCCCTGATCAGCGCGAGTAACAAAGAGATTAGTTATTCGTGGTTGTAGAACACAAACTGGGGCTTTCGCAGCGCGGTAATTGATTGACCAATTCGCATGATAAATGGCTATCCGCAGACGGATGCGACAATGGTATGACTGCTTCACCGGTGTACATTTGTCAAAAAGCTTGATAAAACAACCCTGTATTAACTTCTGGAAAATGGGGTAATTTGTTCCCATTTGGGGAAGCAAATTGCTGCGCGAAATAGGCGTATCATAATATTTTGGACGAGGGGTAATTTTTTCTAGGTTTGTCTGGTCAAAGTCGGAACATGAAGTGGCAGGGAAAAAAAACATGAAGTGGCTTGATTATGGATGGTAAGAAAGGAAGGGTGCACATGTGCATGGGGAATTCTACGGAAAAAATGGAAATTTATTATATATTCAGAAATACAAACATCACAACAACAAATGTGGTATCAAATTAAAGGGGACAACAAGATCTTTCATTTGAGTGGTATGCCAGTGGGATGGAATGTAGTTAAGTTTTTTTTGGGGGGGGGGCTAAAATCATGGATTTTTGCTGGTCATTTTGGCATCTTCTTTTAACTTGCAAAACGTAAGTGAGTACTGCCCATATAAAAATGGCAAAGAGAGAAATTATATTACGAATGAAGTCTATTCAAAGCAAACTCACTGAGGTCTCTCAAGAGTGGAATAGAAGGCCTTCTTTGTATTTGTTCATCTCATGGTCTGAAAGAAGACTGTGCCTAAAAAGTGTATCATCAGATCTTGACAGCATTCTCGGCGCATCGTCCTTAATTACAACATCGCTGACCCAACTCATCGCACTATTAGTTCACCCCCGACTCGCCAAAGATAACAATGTGAGACATCCCTTACCTTACACTATACGTATGTGACATGCGTCGCCCCTTCCCTGTCAGGTGGGGATCCCGGCCACGGCCCGCCGCGGTTGAATGCCACGACGCCTTCTGGCAGGCTTCCAATTTTCATATCTGCGTGATAATGTTACATGGCTTTTTGATCCAGGCTTTTGATAAAAAGGTGTTTGGAGGTTCTTGGGCCTCGAGGGTCAGACTGGCACCTGTCAGTGAGGAAGCTCAGGGGCTGTGGATAAGATGTTGACAAAAACAACAAGAATGCATCATAATTATGCACCTCATAACTGGATACAATAAAGGAGCTCATATAATGTGTAATTTCACTTTTAAAAATGTAAATGAAAAACAGAAGTTGTAAGGCCGAAAAAATATTGTCTTTATTGTAACCTGACCTACTGGGATTGCCTACGGCCAAATTGCCGACCTCCAACTTTTTATTG